ACAAATTTAGTTCCTCAACAGATCCCTTCAGAGATTTTTCTGTTCCATCTAGTATTAAAGAGGTGTCGTCTGCATATTGAGAATTTAGAATCTGACAGTCATCAATATTTATACCAGTAATATTTCTATTATTTCTTATCCGAATTGCCAATATCTCAGCACAAAGTATAAAAATGTAAGGTGCGATTGGATCGCCTTGGCGATAGCCACATTTTATATTAAAGAACGATGATAAGTTACCCCCTGTTTAATTGCAGAACAAGAATTAGAATGTAATATTTTTACCCAATTTCTCAAATCCACCTTAGATTAATGGAAACATTTCATTTAAAACATTCTTAAAGCATTGCAGGCACCTGCTCGTGAAAAAATATTTCATAACATTTCTTGGCGGGCTTTTTTTTTTTTTTTTTTTTAAAGTTTNTGGATCCCTAGATCTTGCAAAGTTTATTAGGCGGTTACGTTATCATCTTATCAAGCATGCCTATGACGCGATAGTGTTGCTCAATAGCGAGCCGCGGCATTGCATTATCACGTTGATATCTTAACTTTCGACAAATTTCGTTAACTAAGCACAATGTTATATAAACTTATACTTGTTGATTTCACCTCGCCGCGTGACATGAACGTGAGAGTTCTTGCTCTATGAGTACTGCCACATTAATGAATATATAAGACATATAACGATTAAGCATAATCTTTATTTCATTATAAAACAAAAAAGCTCGTTACAAATTGTCATTATTTGCTTTGAATCAATTATTTTTGATGTCGCCTTTTGTAACCGTTGACATAATATTTATCAATGAAACATATATTTTTATTTATCTTCAACTTTTCATTAATGGTTTAATTTACCTTTAATTCATGTTTTTATTTATCTATATTTTTTAATAATGATTTAATTATTATTTATTAATTATTTATTTCATTAATCTATAGTTTTGCAATTTATATTTTTTTTTATCTATTAATATATCCATTTATTTACCCATGTTTCTTTTTATTTATCTATATACTTACTTATTCATTTATCAATTTATTATTTATTTAATTATTTATTGTAAATTACTGTTATATACTGCATAGTATGGTTATAATACATGAAGCAGCCTAAAGAACACATTGACTTGATTGTATCATATTATAGGACATTTTTACAGGGACGTTTATAATCACAAAGCGAAAACCTCTTTTAAATTATTAAGCCCTATGGTCAATATATAGAGGATCAGTTAAGTTCGAATAGACCTAATAATTATAGTTACTTTCAAAATAGAACACACTGTTAGTAACTGTTACAAAAATGTACCGGAGAGGGCATCACATTTATCTGAGTGACGATTTATCTTAAGAGATTATGGTTATTTAAATGGATGAGGCCTCGTAGCTAGTTATTAGAGAACGATTTAAAAGACACAGAAAAAAACTATGAGGCCACGTCACCACGTAATGAATCGAGGCGTCCTAACCAGTTGTTGGTAGATTATTCTAAAGGATAAGAAGACCTCTTGTTAGAAGGTGTTTTTAAAAAGGTCAAGGCCTCAAAACGACCTGTTTACACATCGTATGCGTTCGTTCATCTATCATGTGAATAAACATGTTCTAATTATTTGGCAGTCTCATCCTATGAATACTGATCTTATGCCCCTACCTCTAAATAACTGCATCGCTTACCGTCTTTCAAACGCATACTTATGTAATTATGTATTTTGTTCAATACCGATTTAGCATTACTTCTTATCTAACGACTCGACCTGAATTTTGAGGATAGTCGAGGTTTCTTTACTCAATTATTGAACACAACACACTCCCCACGCCAATGAAGTTAACAAACATGTTTGTGCCATAGTTTATTCTTCAATTAGAACATATTCCTATAGAAGCAAATAATTATGATAAGATGTGTCCACTGTTCATACATTGAAGTTTGTTCCCTCGTTTGAGTTTATCCTCCTTGCAATAGCTTGAGTAATATACGGATTTACATCGAAGACAGCTTACATCACCATGAATCAATATCCAATAATAAGATGTAATTTTCTCTAACCCTTGACAGGGTATCTACACTTTTGCCAGTGTGAGATATCCTTGTGTCACCCTAGGGTTGAGACTTGGGCTTCTCCAGTCATAACAACTGTTTGCCGTAGGGAAAAAACATCCACATGATTATGATTATCATAGAGTATATTCTATTTTAGCATTATAATGCAGCTTGTTTAGTTCGATCTTACTTATATGCATATATATACCTTTCTTGAAATAGTCTGAAAATCAATCATAAAGTGTATTAACGATGACGCAACAGAAGGATTTTTCTTGACCACAATGTACTGATTTTATGAATATAACGTATTTTGTACATGTACCACATTTTACACTGCATTTCCCCAACTCTCTTCTAACTTCCCCAGTAATTTATTCACGTCACTATCCCTTAGCTTTAATGATGGTTACGATGAAAGGTAACAGATTTATATAAGTGTATTAACACTTGTTTCTGTCTCTAATTCATTTACGTTTAATCATATTTGTATTATGTATTACATATATTATGTGAATAAAACAAAGTTTGAAAAAAACTGTTTGCCGTCACGCTAACAATAGTAGAATACCACTGATACCTCACTAGGGTTCATGGAAAATCACGCAATGGACGCATGTCTTTCATTCAACCAATTTTGTACTTAAGGTGGAAGAAAAAATAAATCATTTTCCACTTTGGGAAGCAGACAGAAATATCTCGTGGTAAGATTCTTAAATGTTTGGCCCCCAGCAAAGCCTTTGGCTAGACATTATAGAAGAATTTTACCCTTTACTCTTATATGTGTTTCCCCGAAAGTTGGAGGAGATTCTTTAAACTTTCATGATAAATGATTTATTCACTAAAACTTAAATCGTTGAACATTTACACACGTTTCATGATATTTAAGTAATAAAATAGGTGCAACAGGTTGTGCAGGAAAAGCTAACTGATCCATTTTTTTTTTGCAAGAGTTCACGATGTCTTTCCTTTCGTGTTTCGGTGTATTCTTGGTTCCTTTGTTTGCCGTTTCGTTTTTCGTTGAATTAAGATTTTAACATCGTATACTTTGCAATATAGTCAATAGAAATAAGAAGCTAGGATCCATCAATTAAAAATTTAGTAAGTCGATGCAGAATACAATAATAATTAGAATAGAGTACGGACAAGAATATCCGGAAGTTTGATTTTTATATCAAAGATGTGAATGTATACTTATTTGTTAATATATATGTATGAGGAATACTGATACTTGATCGAATATTTTGAACAGTATGAACACTATTTAAAGGTGATTCTAGACGCCCTTGTACATTGTATGTATGTATATAATGTTTATGTCATAAATTTTTGCAAAAAGCCAACCAAAGGAAACATTTACTGCACCATATGGTCATTTCATCCATTAAGGACTTATCACTTTTACTAAGGGTCAACAAATGAAAATAAATTGAAGTCTAATGTGCAATGAAAAAAAAATATGTAGAAATCCAATAAAAGAAGATAGGTGCCGATATAAAAATGTTTATAACGCGTCAGTTTTTTTTATTAGACTTATATTTCAAACAAACTATTAGAGATTATATCCAGACTGTAAAAAAGGAAGGTCTTATGTCGTTCAAATATTAGTAAAAATATGACGTACGCAAACACATATTTAAATTTAGCAAGTCGATATGGAAAGCCAACGTAAATACTTAATGCAAAATATAATCTTTTCGTCTAATTAGGTCCAACCAATGGTAGCAAAGGTCAAAGGTAAAAAGTATATGAATTCAATCAATTCTTACCGTTATATATAGAAGTAGAAAAACAGTAAAACAGGAAAGACAAAATAATGTCACTTAACAAATAAAACACGTGTTTAGGGTAACTTTTCGTCAAACAAATATTATACATTTGATGTAAACCGTGACGTATTATTTGGTCAGTTATGAACTTTTGTTGAGGTATATATGTGGTTATATGAACATGAGAAAGTACAATTAACCGAGATGAAGTTCCTTTGAGAATGTCGTCATAAATATAGGATCTTACATGAGTTTCCATTTCATATGAGATTTATGAATAGAGTCTAAAAAGAAAATAATAAAAAAAAAAATTCGTGACGAGTTTCATAATTTTCATGTGAAATGAAAACGAGTGTAAGATCTTTTTTTATCAAATAATCATGGGTTTTGGCCTTTATTCGTGTAAAAAAACAATTTGCATACAACCTTGAAATGTGAAAAAACGCCATTTTGACTCCGGTGCGTAAGTCTTTTACTTGTCCTAGGCGTGACGTCACAATTGAAACATTTGAAACCAATTACAGGGCTGATAGGTCATATTACATGGGTTAATACGCAAACAAATATAACATGGGTAAGTTCACTGGATAACATTGTGCATTATGTGATAAAGTGAATATTGACCTGTTGTTTCTAAAAACTATTAAACCAAGTCAATATCACAAATCATCGACCTCCAGGTGGTTATGATCCAACCAATACAGCAATAATGTGTATGATATAATATATGTATTCATAAAGCCATGTGAAGGGGTTATTAATATGTGATGTTACTAGAATACTTAAAAGGAAGAACCATTAAAAGTATTGAAGGTACATAAATGTTTATAAGCTTAGGTTGTTTTTAGATACAGAAATTACATTGATGAACGTTTATGTTGCTATACGTAATATACTAAAACCTCGTTACAATGCCCCTCGTAACAATGCCCCTCGTTACAATGCCCCTCGTTTCATTGCCGCCTCACTTTCTGTGAACAGGTTTTAAAGTTCACTTTTTTATTTTCCTTTATAATTCCTTTATATACTTACTTCAATTTATCGCCAAACCCCTTTATACCGACAAAAAATTCTGTGAACAAATGGTGGCAATTTAACGAGGTTTTACTGTATTTCATTATTTCCATATACAATTTAGATTGTATATTTACTGGTTCACCATCCTTTGTTTTGTTTGTGTATTGTAGATGATCGGGATGGTGCTAGTGTTCCCGTACGTGGTGGGATACAGCGTTACCAGAGTAACGAAACTCAAACGAGATATAGAGGCCTTTCATGCCCTTTTTACATACCAAGGCAATCCAATGTTTGAGAATGGCGACCAAACAATCATGGGTTTCAAAGATCCAGATTTATTTAAAAAAGATCGGAGAGATAGTTTGTTCTTTTCTGTTGGTAACGAAGACAAAAATTGTGAACCAATAGATTTGCATGTAAACTCAGATTTAAAAGATTCGTCTACTTGTCCTTGGTATACGAAGTTAAATTATGATGAAAATAGAATACCGACTAAAATCTTGGTGGCTGAGTGTCGCTGTGTAGCCTGTACCGAGGGATGCTGTAAGCCGCTCATTCTAAACCTCCCAGTAACAAGATTGTACAGAGACAAATACGTCCCTACGATAGAACCTGTAAGTGTCGCGTGCTTATGTCAACACATGACTAGCGCCGACAAAAAAATCAACTGTGGAGCTGGAAGAATGCACAAACCTACTTACAACAAAACATTGAAGCACAGAAAGAAAATGCGAAGAACGCTTCAACTAAGAAGACAGAAAATTAAAAAGAAAAGAAAGAATGTTACAATTGAGAAAAAAAGACAGCTGATATGGTGGCGATACAAAAACTGCTCGTATTACCGGTACTGTAAATTGTGACAGGCACTGAGACGAGTCGTCAAGCCTTTGAACTGTGTGTGAATAACTAACCGAGTCGTCCAGCCATTATAAAACATGAAATGTATTGTCTGAATGGGCCGATGGTATAGACGATTTATATGTGTCATCAACTGTGAAATAAACTTCGTGAAACCGAATCATCCAACCGATTTATTGGTGTTATGAATTGTGAAGTGGATTTTGTGAACAGCCGAATCGTCCAGCTGTTTTATAAACTATGGAATATATGCTCCCCGTGTATGTAAAACCAAGTCGTCCAATTGAAGTTTCAGGAAGTAGTCTTCTTTTATGAATGCACTTGTCGTTTTCCGTCACACAAAAATGAATCGAATATTTATTAATATTTTGTAGAGCGGATATCTTCATTGTGGAAGGAGTGGACGTTTTTATTGAATGAATATACCACTTTCCACGACAAGCATTATAAACTACACAGTTGAACCTTTCCATGGCATTTACACGCATTTTTCGAAAAGCTCAACAAATGCTGTCGATGACATACACGCACTGGATACTGTGTAGAATCATTTTGTGATTCAACGGATTATATGAGGATAACTCATTGATTATAAATGCTGAAAACTATTGTTTTTAAACATGGTATTGGAATGACGAGGATAAAGAACCATTCCCTACCTTGAGAATGAAATAGAGAAATCTCCAACCATCGGGGTGATTATTTGGTTGTATAACCCTCGGCTTATTAGTTCTTTCTTTAACATGAATCATAATACCGTTGAAATTATTGACATACTTAATGCAAATCTTTTAATATCCTCCGAGTGTTATTTTTAACTACACTGTATACTAATCTGTAAAACGCACATTTTTTTATTTACGTCATGTGTTTTGGAAACCGGATAATTCCCTTCCAAATATGTTTTCTCATTTATTGCACCCATGGCTAATTGCCATAGGATCGAAAATATGTATTCACAAGTTTTTTTTTTTTTTTTTTTTTTGTGTTATATGCTGTACATATGTAAAATAACAATCATAATTCCATAACGATATTAATCATGTAATTTTGTCAATTAAAATTCAATCAACAATGGCCATATAAACGATGTAAAGACTACATATGTATTTATCCCTGGATCCAACAATCTGTTTGATTGTCCCCATAACGAGACGTAGCACTCAGTTGGGTAATTGTCAAACCAAGGTGTATGTATGTGGTACACGTATTGTTTTGGACATATATATACTAATAATGCTTCATACGTGTAAAAATATGTCTTAAATGTATCAAACAAAAGCTGGAATTTGCTTTGAGGTTTGCTTTTATTTAACAATAAACCTTCCTACAGCAAAAACCTCTTTTTGGAATGACAAAGATTCTAGTACGGAAACACCCCTTTGTTAGATAAAAGATAGTGTGTTGAAGCCTTCCCTGTACAACACATGTTACAGACCCGTAAACGATTACGGTTCCATTTTGAGCGTAGCATTTGCGTTGCACTCACGTGTGGCATTTCACTGGCATTTTCGTAGGCTTTCCGCATCACATATGCTGCACGTACACACAGCATTTGAGAAGCATTGACGTAGCATTTATGTAATATTTGCGTTACACTTACGTAGCATTTCCGTAGCCTTTCCGTAGCTCCTACGTGATATTCGCGTTGCACTTACGTAGCATTTCCGTAGCCTTTGTGTAGCTCCTACGTGATATTTGCGTTACACTTACGTAGCATTTCCGTAGCCTTTCCGTAGCTCCTACGTGATATTCGCGTTGCACTTACGTAGCATTTCCGTAGCCTTTGTGTAGCTCCTACGGGATATTTGCGATGCACTTACGTAGCATTTCCGTAGCCTTTGTGTAGCTCCTACGTGATATTTGCGTTGCCCTTCCGTAGCCTTTGTGTAGCTCCTACGTGATATTTGCGTGGCACTTACGTAGCATTTCCGTAGCCTTTGTGTAGCTCCTACGGGATATTTGCGTTGCACTTACGTAGCATTTCCGTAGCCTTCCCGTAGCTCCTATGTGATATTTGCGTTGCACTTACGTAGCATTTCCGTAGCCTTTCCGTAGCTCCTACGTGATATTTGCGTTGCACTTACATAGCATTTCGTAGCCTTTGTGTAGCTCCTACGTGATATTTGCGTTACACTTACGTAGCATTTCCGTAGCCTTTCCGTAGCTCCTATGTGATATTTGCGTTGCACTTACGTAGCATTTCCTTAGCCTTTGTGTAGCTCCTACGTGATATTTGCGTGGCACTTACGTAGCATTTCCGTAGCCTTTGTGTAGCTCCTACGGGATATTTGCGTTGCACTTACGTAGCATTTCCGTAGCCTTTCCGTAGCTCCTACGTGATATTTGCGTTGCACTTACGGAGCATTTCCGTAGCCTTTGTGTAGCTCCTACGTGATATTTGCGTGGCACTTACGTAGCATTTCCGTAGCCTTTGTGTAGCTCCTACGTGATATTTGCGTTACACTTACGTAGCATTTCCGTAGCCTTTCCGTAGCTCCTACGTGATATTCGCGTTGCACTTACGTAGCATTTCCGTAGCCTTTCCGTAGCTCCTATGTGATATTTGCGTTGCACTTACGTAGCATTTCCGTAGCCTTTGTGTAGCTCCTACGTGATATTTGCGTTACACTTACTTATTATAACATTTGATAGCCTTTCAGCAGCATTTGCATAGCGTGCGCGTTGCACTGACGTAGCATTTCCGTAGCACTTACGAAATTATTTCTTAACATTTGCGTAGCCTTTCTGTAGCATTTGTGTAGCCTTTGCCTCTGAGGTGGAACAGAAATCGTGCAAAGGTCTGTAAAGTATAGGTATGTAAATATTATGTTTTCTGTATATTTCACATGTTCTGTCTTATCAATTACTACATTTTGAACAATTTACCTTAGAAAATATTGAATTAAGATTTTTTCACAAAATTGTGTACATTTTTTTTTCTTTTTCTGTTTTGATATATATATTGTTTTCTTATTTGTCTTTTATGTTGTACTATCAAATGGAATATTCTCTCCGTTTTACAGTTCATCTTTTTAATATTGTAGACAAAAACGTATATCAAAAATCAATTATCTAAAAGTTAGCTTACAATTTGATTGCAGTACAAATTAAAAACGTAAATAATGTCTTCCTTGATAACCCCAAAGTAAGTGTGAACGTATTGTCTGGGGGACAAAAATAATCTATAGCAATATTTAAAATTGTATTCCTGTATTCTAATGTTTTGCGAATGATATTCTTAGTATCGATTCGTACATCCACGATACTCCAGGGGTTACCCTCAATTTCATTCTCTGCGCCCCTGGAATATGTCATATCAAAACTGAAGGCACGCAGCTAACAATTTTAATTGGTCTCAGGTAAAACAAACTGACCAATCACTAGGATGATACATGTCTATTGAAGATGATGAATGAGCGACATCCAACTTCTTCAAAGTCAGTCAATTTTACCGTTAGGCGACCGCGATATTCTTTTAATGTCCATTAAAGGATCTAACCGATCTTCTTGTCACATTCACAAGCTGGTTCACACTGAGCCTTCGATTTTGCTATGACATATTACAGGGCTGTAGAGAGCGAATGTGAACATAACCCCTGTAGTGTCGAGAAAGCGATGCGTATGAAGTTAAAACAATATTATAACGCTGTTCTCTATCAGTGCTTTTTTCTGTTTAGACAATTTTGTTCATTTAACAAGGCTTTTAATATGTTGTCTTTGTTCTGTGCTATGTCAGATATATCTTTGTTTATGTGAAATACGAATGCCAGTATAAAAATATAAAGCATTTAAAAGAAGGAAATGGTTGCAGCTATTCTGTTACAATGACGTGGAAATGCCCTTGCAATATACATATAAATTTGCAAGAATACAGTTTATTAAAATAGCTTTCATTTATTTCCTTGTATATTTTTTGGAATTATTGAAGGATTCGTTATTTGCAATTTATCATGGTATTTTACCGAACACTATCATTTTTGACTTATCATAAAGAATAAAATAAAAATGAGTAAAAAGACAAACGGCAATAGGATTGTCTTAAAAATATCCTTGTACAGATTTGTAGTGAGCTCGAAGCTGAAATTTAGTTCCTAGTTCCATTTAAGATAGAAAAAACCCGAAATGGAAACCAGATATTAGTTCCGTAAGAAACATATCTTAACTGACATATCACACACTGGGAACTCAGTATTGAAAGCGTACTTAATGATATTGTTGTAATTATTACCCCTCTGTATCAAAAATTATAAGTTCCATTGTAAAATCAAAATCTATGTGGCAACTGTTCAGTCAAATAATTCTACAATGGTCTCTATAACGGAATTAGTGTAAAACCGAACTGAAACGTTGATTTTTTTTAAATTTTGACTGGGATCCAGAGTCGAGATGAATATATTAGACGTTACGAGATGAAAAGAGTTATTTTCTTTCAGTATTAAATATTTGATAATATTTCTTATACGGAACAAGAACTAGACTTAAACTTCAAACTCGTAGATTTGTGGTGGTAGGGTTTTATTATTATTTAAGCGATGAATGTTTTAGCAAACGTTGTTATGGTCCTATAACACACATTGCTATTGATGACAAACTTACTAAACCCGGTAGGGCTTTATGTAAGTTTGTCAGTAGTTGAAATGTGTGTTATAGAACCATAACACCATTTGCTAAAGTATTCATAATTTATATTTACATTTTGATAGAGTAATGATGCTTTATTTAACTATATCGAACAGCTCTTTGAACAACAAAATAAGTGTTGACAACTACTGAAGTTGATGACGTCACAAAAGAGATTGATGACATTAGTATAGTAAATGTTGTAATGAAATGTAAATATAATATGGATGCAATAAAAATAAATACAGATGTGTAGTGTTAGTGTTATACGACGAATACCACCAGAATAGTTTTACATTTTGTGTGGCAGTGCCCTTCCATATGTTAATACCAAGAGCAGCTACATTTTATCAAACAAAAACTGAAGAAGTTGCCAAGCGTATGACTATCAAAACGCGCAATACGTAAACAAATGGATATACGCACATTTCATATAGGCCATAGCAAAATAGCCTATTCCATCACACAATTATCACTACTAAGAGAAATGTGTTGTTTTTTGTCATTTCTAAGTGAATGTTTTTAAATAGTAAATTGATTATGATCTTTATATTAAAGATACATGAATCAGTACGAACACGTTCATTAGACTTTTCTTTTCAACGTTTTCTATATTTCCCAGGAATGTAATTGAAGGCCTGCCGGGTTTGGGTCCCTGGGCTCGGCCTTCGTACATGTTGTGTCCTTGCACAAAAGGATATTAGTTTAAACCACGTTTTATTAATATCTGTTGACATTACATTGAATTACAAATTGTACAACACATAATATGAAATAGAAAAGGAAATAAAAACAAATGGCATGTCCGGAGGAGACGCGTTCTCCATTCAACTCATTTGCTGCTACATGCTCATGTCTTCCTAAGAATTCTTTCAGGGTGTCTTAATTTGCATTTAGGTTGTTTTTCAAGTCAATTTCAATAAATCATACATAAGTATATTTGCCAGATTATTTTGGTCGAAATTGTTAAACAACCAACATCAGTTTTTCATGTATTACATATGTGACCTCTTTGTTTGGTCTTCAAAGACGTTTAAACATTTTGGAAACAATACTTTTAAGATATTGAAGACGACTGCAGTGAAAGATATTGATTAAAAAATTAAACTTTTTACTATTTACTATTTATTTACAATAATTTAAGGGAAAAAAAGTAATATTAAATGAATTACTCTTGTTGAATCGAATGTTAGCGCGCAAATGATCTAAATATGGATGGAAACCGGAGTACCCGGAGAATACCCACGTTGTCGGGCAGGTGACCCCGTACCTTTGCACGCCCGATCAGGGAATCGAACCCCGGCCATTTTGATTAAAGGCGCCTGCGTTATGCAATGCG